AAAGAAAGAAAGAAAGAAAGAAAGAAAGAAAGAAAGAAAGAAAGAAAGGAAGGAAGGAAGGAAGGAAGAAAGAATTGCCTTTTGTGGAACATGCATTTTCCAGCAGACTCTAGTACCCTCCAAGCAAAATTGTCTTCCATGGAAATAGTTGAGTAGCCCACCGTCACTGAGAAACATTACTTCTGGCACAAGGATTCATGTGGACTCTAGAATATCTTCCAGATTTGCTAGCTTTTAGATGTCTGCTTTTAGCAGATTCCTTAGCAAAAGTGTTTGAATAATCCATTTGGATCTGGATCAGTCAGTTTTCCAAAAACATTAGGCATCTTCAGAAAGGCCAGCAATCGTATTGATAAACACACTCTGTAAGCTGGACTGGGCTAAAACTTCATTTCAATGAAAAAGATGATGCAATTTGTGCTCCAAAAGTTATTTCTAAAACTGTTCTGCTTTTTCAAATGTGAAGTCATCTCCTACCAGTTTGAGGCTGTCCTGCATTTGTGTGTCTACTGGTTGTGGTGGTTCCCGTCTGTCATTTCAGTACTTTAGAAAACAGTTGAAAACTGGGCTAGGCTATATAACAAGTCTCCAAAACAAAGGTCAATAATATCCATTTTCTTAAAAAAAAAAAAAAGTTGTATTTAGGAATGGAGAGGGAGACATGGGAATTAGTTCTACTTTAAATAAAGGACTTACCTTATAACACACTGGTAGATGCCCGAGTCCTCCAGTGCCAATGGAAGAAACAAAATCCAGGTCTGCTCCTGGTGAATTCTAAGGTGTCTGTTGTTGGATATTGGGCTTTTGCTGGGTGTTTTGTACCATGTCAGATTTACTGCCCCATTTGTTTCTGGGTGGTATGTGCAGTTGAAAGGAAAAGGTTGGCCCTCTGAAATCGACTCATTGTGCATATAGATGTCCTTACACGTATCTAGGGAAGGAAAGGAAAACAAACAAACAAAAAAAAAATACGATACAATGCAATACAATACAATGCGACGGAAAACTGGAGTCGTTATTCTTTTAGGAAATATTTTGCTCCGGTCAATGTGAAATTGTATTTAATGGTTTGTTTATTTTGGGTGTTTCCCCAAACAAACTTGCCCAGTCACTTAGAAGCATAATGCTAAGATCTTCAAATGTATATGGGGACAAAGCTTTGCCAGGCCCCTCTGCAGAAACACGCCCCCTGTGTCTGCATCCGTCTACTCTTCTGCCCTTTGTCTCAGCACAGAACCATCCTGGTCATTTTCCTGCCTATACTTGCTGTCGGATGTATCCTCACTCCACAGTGCTTGGTTTTAAAGACAGCTTCCCTTTAAAGCTCATTTCTACCAAGTTAGGTTTTCTTAGAAACTTATATTCTCTGGTCGCTTTGGACCATAAAATAAGACTTTATATGAAATAGATGCCACTAGTAACCCATCCGTTTAAACATTGGAACTGAGTCCACTCGAATGTTTGTGGACTTCTCTGTATCATCTAAGTTAGTCCAAAGTTCCAAGGTGACATTTGGAGTTGAGCCTCCAAGAAGTTGGGAATGAACTTTTCCTATTCCTTCCTCCCCCTCTCCCCCCTCCCCCGCCCGCCATTTTTGACTCTGTCTGCCAGATCATCTGGAGGAAAGAGTGACTAACAAGGTTGGGGCTTAGTTGACGCCCCTGAAAGTGAGTCAGAGGTGTGGAGATGAATGACAAAAGATGCTGCCAGCAAGGCAACAGGCCTCTGAGATGCAAGAACTCACACAGACCCGCAGAACTTACCTGCTCTCACAAAAAGTGGAAGCGCGAAAGACACCCCACAGAAGAGCAAAGATGTCATTCCCATTTCGGGCTACATAGGAAAAAGAAGACAATGGCAGAAGTAAGGGACGCGGTAAGGAGGCTAGCACCTTCCCGCACTCAGTGGGGCTCAGATTTCCAAGAACCCAGAATGTCAGTCCCAATCCAGGTCACTGGCCTTTCCCTCTGCGTGGGGAGCCCGCCTCATCCCAACTCCATTCCACTTTTCTGCACCAGACCTTCAGAAGCCAGGAAACACAGACTGACCTGTGAAGGGGACTGGTGGTTAGTTGGGAGACGGGGCCAGATTTGGTGGCACTTGGATCAAGCCAGGGCCAGGAGATCTTACCGCGGCTGGAGCAGGCTGTGGACCCGCCCAGCGTGCGTATGGGACCCGCCTGGGTCTGAGGGCTCCCCTGAAACCCCAGATGCCCGCTGGCTGAGCAGTGAGCACAGACCCCTGGGAAGGTAAAGGACGAGTAGGAATCCCAGAGTTTGACCCAAGTCCCAGTCCACTTTCCTTGACTGTCGCCTAGCCGCCCCAGTGTCTAGCTCCCTCCGCTCTTCCCTAGCAACGATGCTGCTCCGGGATTGCTACACCTCCCTTTGGTGTCTCAGAGCTGGGGTCTCGTGGAACAGACCGGGAACCCCGCCGGGGACCGGGTCCCAGTCGGTCACAGCATTCGGCAGCCTGGGCATCGCCTCTACGCCGCGGGCGGGGCAGACTCACCTTCCCCAAGTGGAGCCCGTCCTTAGAAAGGCGCTCAGTCTTTTTTTTTTTTAAATCCTGATCCCAGGCTGACACGTTCATCTATCAGGAATGTCGGCTTAAATATGCTCCAGAGCATCGCTTTAAAATTATCATTTCCTTTCCAAACATTATTTGAGCTGTTCTTACATGCCCAGCACTGCCCCAATATGGACTATTCCAGATGTGGAAGGCATTCCACATGGCTTCTGAGAAAAGGCATTAACGCCACCCCCACCCCCACTCCACACCCCATCTCTCATCCCCGTCGTTGTCGTTGTGCCAGATCTTCGGTAAAGCGAACTCCTGAGCACAGTCTAAACTCCCGATACAGTCTAAACTTGCCATAAAGCAATGCTTGCCAGAACCTGTTTTCCTGCCCCAGCGACACTGGGGACCCCACTGGCACTGAGAGGAGAAAAGAAAGCAAATGCTGTCAGATCAGCAGCTTCTCACCAGGCATCCCTGGTAGTCTTTGTGAGTTAGAAACTGTAAGACTTTGAAAACAACCACAGGGTCAGCCTGACTAGCTGCCCCAAGTTCACAAAGTTAAAATGGATAGGTGTCTGTCCTGGCACTGTCCCTTGGCAGAAGCACTCTGCCTGACATTTCCGGGATGATCTCTGTGTTGAATAAGTTTGTTGATGTATGTGGAATCAGTCATTATTAGATTTGGATACAGAACAGATTTGAGGATAGTGAGCTTTTCAATTACAGGGAAAAAAACACACGATGTTAAGCGAAATGAAATATCCTGCCTGTACGGAAATTAAACAGAAAGGACACCAAGCTGTAGAATGAGAGATTACAGGGGTGGGTGGACAAAGCCTGTAAAAAGAGGCTGGGTTCCATTAGTGTACACTATAAACCCCAATAATATGAAATTAAAACAAAACTGATTGAAACTTTAAAAATACAAAACTATCACATGTTTGCATGCAGAACCTTCCAGAAAAACTAAGGAAGGAACTAAGCATGTACTTACAGAGGTCTGAAGGACAATTTTAGCCTTGTTTGGGATGACCAGAAGAAATCCTGCTTTCATAGAAACTTACTGACTTCAGCCTCCTCACGTGACCCCCTCCTTCTTTCTACTTTCATATCTCTAAGTGTGTGCCACACGATTGTCAAGGGCTACATAATTCCAAACAAACCATGTCACTAAGCAACAAACATCAGAAGGAATCATCCCCCAGCTTCCTGTCTCTGTCTGCTCATACCCAAACCCTGAGTCTTAAACTTGGTTCTTATTCTTTCCCTCCCCCTCCCTTCATGTAAGGTGTGTGTGCATGGTGGGGGGACGGGGGCAGAGATCGAGAGACAGAGAGAGGAAGTTCCTTAAGCAATATAAGGTATTCTTACGTAAGTTTTCTTAGTCACTATATAAAACTTACTATGCGCTTACATAACTTACTTTTTAGTAAAAGCATTATATTCACGGGAGTTATACATTTGAGGTGTGGTCCTTCTCAATAAAGGCTTGCTGCTGTAGAATGTCTCATTTGTGAGCATGAGCAATTGATGTGCCTCTCTCCCTTAGCCATTTTGGTTGTTCCGTTTTTACATTTTGCTATTTATTATACATAATGTTGCCTCAACGATTCTGGCAATGTCTCTTGCATGTTTGAGAGAAGCTCCGGGATTGTTAGATAAGCATGTCTTCACCTGCATTGGCAAACCCCTGACTGATTGTTTCTGTGACACCATTCTCTAGAGAAGGATTTCAATGCCTCATGTTCTTGTCAAACATTAAAGACATATGAATGTGTCCAATGACATACTGAGTGTTGGAAAAGACAGCTTAGAGACATGGGCTCTTCTACAGTGAAGAGATGGATCAAGAGGGTATCAGCAGGCACAGCCTTTCTCCTGAACCTGGAGCCCAACAGGTAGATGTCTGGGAGAAGAGCTCTCTCTTTTTACTTCTTAAGATTTATTTTTATTATCTTAATTGTGTGTGTACATCTGAGTTGGCTATGTACACGTGGCTGCAGGTGACTATAGGGTCCAGAGGAGGGTAACAGTTCCCTTGGAGCTGAAATTACAGGTGGCTGTGAGCTAGCTGATATGGGTTCTGGGAACCAAACTCTGGTCTTCTGCAATAGCCATTTATACTTTTAATTGCTGAGTTGTCTCCTGTAGAATGAGCAACCAGTACAAAGGACACTCCAAAAAAAACTGAAATGAAGGCAATGTGATCTCCACACAGCAGAGGGGAGAGTTGGGTAAACTGAGGTTCGAAGTAGGTGTGGCTAGATCACATGGGGCCTGAGAACAACAGTACAATGGCTGTGTTTATTATAGGCAAAATTAAAAGATATTGGAATATTTAAATCAGGAAAGATATAATCTCTCACTCATTGTTTGAATGGTACCCTTACCACTGAAGACCACCCAAAGGTCCAAGAACTAAGTGGTCTCCATAGGTTTTCAAAACCAAGAGCATATAAAGTTGGGGAGGAATAGTAGGGTGAAGGCATAGGGGAAAGTTGGACAGGGAAAAGGTGTAGAAATCATACTCAAACCCAGGGAAAGTAGGTGGATGCTATTGAGCTTTGGGACGCTGCGTTCCTTTGTGACACAGAGAGTGGGGGTTGGGGCCTAGACCAGCAAGTCCCTCTTCAGTAAAAAGATCCGGAGAGAGAGAAGACCAAGAGACCAGAAGATAAAGAAGATAGAAGAAAGAGATTTAAAAAAAAAAAAACCAGTTTGGGATCTGGAGGTCTTGTATAAGCTACCACTTGAGCCAAGCAAGATTATTTTTAAAAGTACAGCATTTAAATACTATTTCCAGGAAAGAAATGGGGCTATCTGAAGAAGCTATCCTACAATGAGACGAAGTCGGCAGGAAGCTAATGAAACAGTGTTGCAAGAGGGGAACACAGGGTTTCTGGAGAACGTTACAGGCCACACATACAATGGCCCTGGGACTAATAACCAATAACTCTATACAGTTGGAAGAGTTGAGATCTCAGGATCTAAGGTCACAGCTCCCCCAAGGCCCTGGCCCCAGGCCATTACTGGCTCTGCCAAGGTAGTCCTGCTTTAGAGAAGGAAATCTGTCCTTCTCCATTCACCAGGGCACTGCCTGGTACAATAACCAGCACTAGAGATCTTCAGAAGTTAATTGCTACTGTGTGGTAGGTACATTCACAGCCACGCATGCGCACATTCAGGAGTCCTTCAGCTTGGGCTTGAAGAAATCCACTGCCTCCAAGAGATCCCACTACAAACTAAAGTCCTATTAGCAAATCATTTCACCTTCTAGAAAAAGGAAGCTTGGCTGTGGAGCTTCTGTTAGGGACTCTTGTTCCACTGGGTCCAAAAGAGGAAGCTGCTTTTCTGGATGGCTGTGCATCTATCTAATCTCGCTAGGATTCCTCGATGACACTTCACTTCAGAACAAGAAACTGGATTTAGAGGTGCAAACAAGTCTTCAGGACACTCACCTGGTAGTTGGTACTTGACGTCTCCGGGTCTTTCCAGCCTGGTGGACAGGGAGCCATCTGTCCTGACACTCTCCAGGTGGTGCTGGCTCCTATTCACGGGGCCCCGGGAGCTGCGGGCACGTTTTGGTTCCACCCAGTGCTGCGACTCATTCTGCTTGTATATTAACACCCTAAATCCTTTCCCACTCTTGATGCTCCTGGGCCACATGTTCAAACTTAGCTTGGACATATTTCCTTATCACAAATGAAAAAACTTGCATTTATTCCTCGTCAATGTCGTCTGGAGAAAGCAGGTGATTAGAAAGGGTAGCTAGTTATCTGAGAGTTAGAGGACCTGGCTCGGTACAGTTGGCCATTAATGAAGGCTGGCATGAACCAGGAGCAAAGGCAGCCCCAAAGCCCAGGCACTAGTAAGTAAAACTTTTAGAGACATTAATACTCAACTGACAAAGAAACGTCCATTTCAAAGGATATCAGTTTTGACTATCAGATCCGCAATGATTTCTAGATGAGTGCCCATTCCCATTGCGGCCCTGTGTGTGAGAGAGCCGTGCAGTCTCTGTGGAATGTAGTTAGCCAAGAACGGGAAGGGCTCCTGTCCTTTCGCAATCACACCAGGCGAACAATCAGGGAGGGGAACAAATTCTTTTGGAAAGGGTGGTTTGGCTCTGCATATCTAAAAACTAGGGAGAAAAAATCCAGACAGCCAAGAGAAACAGAAGAGCTAACCATTTGGCAGCCTTAAAAACAACTTACAGAGCATTCTTCAAATAAAGTAGCATGAACAAAGATTTGTGCTAAGTTTTTGTATGTGTATGGATGTGAATGTGTGTGTGTATATAGGGGTGTGTGTGTACATAGGTGTGTGTGTATGTGTGTATATAGTGATGTTTGTAGGCACATAGGTGTGTGTGTGTGTGTGCATTGCATATAGGGTATAGGTATGTGTGTGTGTGCATAAAGGGGTGTGTGTGCATATAGGAGTGTGTGTGTGCACATAGGTGTGTATACATACATGCGTATATGTGTGTGTGTATTGTGTACATGTGTGCATATGACATGGCACACAAGTAGAAGTCAGATAATAAATTTTGGGAACCAGTCCTTGACTTTCAATTGTGCCTTTTTAACTTTGTCTTATTATTTGTTTAGTTAGTTCATCATCATCATCGTCATCATCGTGTGTGTGTGTGTGTGTGTGTGTGTGTGTGTGTGTGTGTATGCTGTAGAGTAAAGAATACATGTGCCAAGACACATAGATAGACATCAGAGAACTTTGTGGGGCAGCTTCTTCCCTTCCATCTTTACAAGGGTTCCCGGGATTGACCTCGGGTCATCTGGTTTGCAGAAAGTCCCTTTAGCTGCTGAGCTATCTCACCAGCCAAGCATCTCGTTTTGAAGCAGGCTCTCTGTTGATAGTTTTGCCATTACATAAGCCAGGCTAGCAATCCTCAGAGCTTTCTCCTCCACTCTTTCCTTTAGGAATGCTGGGATTACAGATACGTACCACCACCGGACCCAGCTTTTACATGGATTGATCTCAGGTTGTCAAGTTTGCATGCCACTTAATTGACTGAGCAACCTCCTTAATCCTTATGGTTTTGAAAGTTAGAACGTATGTGTGT